AGGGGGTCTGAATACTTTCCGTACCCACTGTATATATATATATATATATATTTCTATTTCTATTTCTATTTTCTGTTTTTATTATTTCTAACCGTGTTTTATTCTCACAATTGCACAGGGTGAACCAGGACCGCCTGGCGCTACTGGACCCAGGGGAATGCCGGTATTAACCGTACCATATTTTCTTTCTTAGTTTTCACATTCCAAGTTCTTTGTAGATTTTATCAGTGACGCATGAATAGCAAAATCAACATTTGGAACAAAGACTGAAACAAAGAAGAAAGTCAACTTTAATTAGGCATCTCCAAGGAGGAGCTTGACTTGACTTCTCTCTGATTGGAAAAGGCTTACTTGTATAACTGTTTCTCATTCCAGGGTTTCAAGGGCATCAAAGGACACACAGGTCTCCCAGGAATGAAAGTACGAGCCTTTTCTTTGAGTTTCATAGCCTTGTCATTATTTCTATTTGAAATGTGTAGTGCATAAATGAATAAAAAATGACTTCCCATTGACCCTGTCTTTAAAGCTGACGCCTGTAATGTTTTTGATGTTCAAATACGTTCTCTTAATGAGCAAAGACAACTGCAGAAGTGTAAATATTGCATTTTCACATTGTTCTGTGTGTCTGAATGACCCTACATTCCAAGTTTGAGCTCAGTCTATGGCATAGGTTTGGAACGAGACAATTTGCTAACCCAAACAATGGGAAAACTTTTTGGAAACAATCATTATATTTGCAAATCCATTTGGCACATAATGGTGCAGAAATTACACACAACAGCTTTTACTTCTACGCTAGTCTGTCTTTTTACATATCTCTTTTTTCTTTTACTCTACATCATCCCTCTCTCTTCTTTATTGTTATCTGTAGGGAGATAGAGGACCTCAGGGACCTGCTGGAGCAGCGGGAAGGCCTGGTCTAGAGGTAAGCTGTCTTCTATTAGATATATTGCCACTGCATCTTTAAATGGGCTATAGATTCCCCTTCAAATGCTCTATAGATTTCAGATAATGAAAGAATGCTCTGAAAATAACCCTTAGCACCCTTAGACCAGCAACATACCTCATGCAAGTAAGCAATCACAGATGCAAATGCTTGGCTAATGTATTGCAACAGCGTGATCCCATTGTACATATACCCAGTGTGTGTTGTCATGTTACTGTGGCAGTTACAAACCTCAATACTCAAGGAAGAGGTAGAGTTGACTCTTCTTTACTGTCAATCCATTTCACTGTTCTATTCAAACAGACAGGAGATGAAGAGACATACTTATGGTTATAATATCTAATATATTCAGGACTATTCTCTTTGAACAGTTGCTCCATTAGTTAGAAGACAGTTAAAACTTATGTCCATACTATAATATTACATGATGTCCCTTGCGGCAATGTTGAGAACTCATACTTGCATTGTGCTATAGATTGCAATCTGACACACACATCTTGATAAGTAAAAACGTTTATACTTACATTCCAGGGTGATCCCGGTCCTCCTGGACCACAAGGACCACCTGGAGCTCCAGGACATGTTGTAAGTATTGTAGCGAATCAGCTCATGGGGAAATATGAATAATTAATCATAACTAGTTATAATTAATTACAAATATTTAGATCCGCTGTAGATATTTACTTGACCTCTCAGGGTCAACTGTCTGTCAATTCTAAGAACGTTAATTTCCTGGTTAAGGGAAATAATTTTCTTACTGTACAATTCTACAAAGAGCTTGTAGCATAAATCTGAATGATTAAGTGACTCCAGTTATGAGGCGGGGCTTATAGGACCTACAATAATGTACAGTATTTGAAAAATAATGTGTTTTTTGAACATTAAAGCATGTCAACATATTCTGTTACACCAAATACACCAAATAATGATCTTTAAAAAAGCATCATATGACCCCTTTAAAACAAGAAATTTTACTGACCTCAAATTTTGGAATGGTAGTGTACAGATAAACCCATCGAGAATGTGATAAATTAACAGTTCCACTGGAAATTTCTAGGGTGCTGCCGGATTTTCAGGGCCGGCGGGACCAGTTGGGCCACCTGGAGTGGTGAGCAAAAGTCTTCTAAAACAGATATATCAGTGATGTTTTTAATTGTTTGAATGCTTTACTGTGTCTTTTTGTTCTTTACCAGGGCATTAAGGGAGACAAAGGTGAGGCAGGAGAGAGAGGGCAGCTTGGATTACCTGGCCCACCAGGGCTCCCAGGACATCCAGGGCTGATGGTCAGTACCTAAACTTAGTTGGTTTACCATAATATTTACCTTAAGTTTTTATAGCATTATTATTCTTTTAAACATTTTTGTCGCAGATTTATATATATATATATATATATATATATGTATGTGTGTGTGTGTGTTATTTTTTTTCTGTAGGGTGAACCAGGGAGTGATGGAGCGGTGGGTAAAGACGTAAGTATCTCCTTTGATTTGCTTCACTATACAAATTGTATGCACAATATGCAACTTTGTGATAACAATTACACATAATTGTTGGATTAAGCCGTAATTCCACAGAATCAGTCTCCACCTTAAGCTGAAAAGGTTTTTATTTGATTGATGGACATTTTAACACTTCCTGTGCCTTGTAACCAGAATTACTTTTATTTAAACATTCGTGATGTGACGTGACATGTGGCCAAGTATGGTGACCCATACTAGGAATTAGTGCTCTGCATTTATCCCATCCTAAGTGCACACACACAGCAGTGAACACACACACACCGTGAACACACACCCGGAGCAGTGGGCAGCCATTTATGCTGCGGCGCCCGGGGAGCAGTTGGGGGTTCAAGTCGCTCAAGTCGTGGTCGTGGTATTGAAGGTGGAAGACAGCGCTGTACACACCCCCACCTACAATTCCTGCCGGACCTGAGACTCGAACTCGCAACCTTTGGGTTATGAGTCCGACTCTCTAACCATTAGGCCACGACTTCCCCTACAGTCTATTCACATTCACAGATATAAATAAATAATCAGTTACAGTGGATTTTTAATTATGTGTTTGAATGACACACAGTTCAGGTAAATCTTATTTATGGGTAAATCGGAATTCTAGAGACTGGAATTTTGGCTTATTTTAATTATATTTTCACATTCATAATCAAAATACGACTAAATTCTGATTGATATAGGAATGTTTTTGTGCACATTATTACTGCAAAACTTGTACTATCTGTCCCAGTTTCACTCCTATAATTATTTGTAACCGCAGGGAGCCCCAGGCCTGCCAGGAGAACCTGGTCCATCGGGACCAAAGGTAAGATGCATTGTTTTCACATATCTGTTATAATGTCTTTGCCAGGGATGTGGACTCGAGTCACTTGACTCGAGACTTGACTCGGACTCGAGTCCCAAATTTGATGACTTGCGACTCGACTCGACATAATTAAAGAAGACTTGAGACTCGACTTAGACTTTGACAGCAATGACTCGAGACTTGACTTGTACTTGAGCCCTGTGACTCGGAAAGACTTTATGATCAGATCAAAGTCGTTATAGACACGTCCCTGCAGCGTGCTTGCGCTTGACTGGCAATAAGCCAGAGACTGCATTCAGGGAGCGCTGGAT